GGCACGGGCTCTCCCTCCCAGGAGCTGCTGGCTCCTCTCCTAAACCCCACTCTTCCTCTCTTGGGAAAGGGCCCCACCTACGGGTGAAGGACCAAGGAGGAGCTCCTGGCTCCATCATCACACCTCCCTGCACTGCACTTCAGACCAGGGGTTGTAGGGAGAGCACAGAAGAGCCAGGTTTGCTGAAGATGGGCTAATGGGGAACAAGGGCACCTTTGCAGTGACAGTGCCATCTTCCAGTGTGCATACAGCAGAAAGCCAGGGGACCCAAACTTAAAAATTGGTGGCCTAGATGTGGAAGGCAGAGGTTTACAGGAAGAGCTCAGTGCAGACCTATCTGTTGTATGAATGCAGCACAGACAGAAAACTACTCAGAACCTGCATCCTGGTGGCTTTTGGTAAGCACACAATCCAGCATCAAACTCCAAGACCTCAACCACAGGTACAGTGTGCTGAAGGCCAGAAATGCGTCCTGGGACTTGGGGGTCAAGCAAAAAAAAGCTTAGGAAGCAGACTGTTCCCTGAGTTGCTTCAGGACTGCTTCATGAAGAGGTGAAGGATGCTGTAGAACCACCTGTGCCTCTCTGTCAACCACAAAGTGTGAACAGCAAATTCAGGTGTAGTTGTCTCCCCTGCAGATGTCTAAGTTTAGATGAACTCCACTCAAAGTGCACTGAGGCATTTCTTAGGTTCAAGAATACGTTAAACAAGTTATCAGAACTAGAAAATTCTGGTGGTGGGAATAGAGGACAGAAGTGCCCTAAACCTGACTTCTTCAACAAGTTGTTGAAGGATAATATCCATGATCCTCTATCACAGAATTGACAGATAAACTCCGGGGCCTTGTCTTCCAAATTAAGACAGCTGCCATGCAGAGGAAGTGATAAGAAAAAACCCTTAGATTCTGTTTTGCTTTTTCAGAGAAGGCCATAGCTAAGGGCATCTGCACCTTTCCCAAGCCATCAGCTCCTTGACAAACAGCCCATTTCCTCTTCTGTCCCCATTCCTGCCAGGGCACCACAGAGCTCAACCAGCAGTGACAGCCCATGGTGCAGATTATGGATGACTTACTTGCTGGCAAGCAGACTCCACCTCCCTTTCTCCCAAGTGCCTTGACACAAAGGACAAAGCAATGCCTGTACAAGCGTCACCAGTCCTTGCTGCTTGGCTGATCAGCATCATCCCAGGCAGAGAAACATCAGAGTTTTTGCTGGAAGGGAGCAGGAGCAGCTCCCAGAAGCAGAATGCCCTGCTTTGTCCCGAAATGGAGCATAACCCTTTCACCCTGTGCCGCGCTCCCACCCGCCTTCCCAGCTCCCAACCTTCAGTCCTTTCAACACCCACAGTTTTTCCACTCTGCCACGAAGCCATGAGAAATTCCCTGCCAGAGGACTTCGTTCAAATGGGTTTTTGAAAAAAAAAAAAAAAAAAAAAAGAAAGAAAGTGCAATTCCCTGCTCCAGGCAAACAAGCTCCTTCTTTTCCCCATGAGGAAGATGGATAATAGCAGAGCCAGGGGGATCCCAACAAACTATCCCCAAAGCCTGCTGTAATCAAAAGAATAATTGCTTCAAGAGATTTAAGCCTACAACTGAGTCACTAAAATTAAGAAACTTCTCCGTGTCCATAGAAAGCAAACAATTCTTGGGTGATGCAGCAGAGATTCTCTACAGCCTTGTTAGAAGGAAAGAAAAAAGCAGCCAAATGTAATTAATCATAGTCCCAGAAGAAAGGATGAAATCTCTGTAATTAACTACCTAGACTCATCTTTCCACTTTTGAAAACAAATCCAGCTGCCTACTTCCAACCTTTCACCCACAGGGCTGCCACAAAAGTCTGCTGCAAACACCAAACCACCTCCCTTTAGGGGTGCACTCGCCTGCATTTCTGCCCATCACCTGCAGCCAGCTTTGCAGAAAGGAAGGGAGAGCCTCTGCAGAGTGCAAACAGAACTCCTTTTCTTAGACCTCTTTTGTGGATGAACTGTTAGCGAGTTTGCACTCCCCAAGAACCTGTGTAGCCCTCAGCTGAGCTACAGGAGTTATTTTCAGGCTGAAGGTATTTTATATCCACAATGCTGACCCAACAGATCAACTACCAAAAAACGCCAATTAAAAAAAAAACAACCCCCCCAAAAAAAAACCCCAAAACAAAACCAAAAAATAAAAACAAAACAAAAACAAAACCCCAAAAAACAAACAAACAAAAAAAAGGCAAAAAAAAAGCAAAAAAAAGCCCCAAAACAAAGATTCCAAAACAAGAAAATACTTTCCAAATAGTTAGGATTACAACTGCTTGTGTTAATAAATTGGCTTATACTTCATCCTCAGGTGGTGAAATTTGCCTGACCAGCAAAGTTTTGGAATACATGGGGGGAAAATGCAGCACTTCAAAGAGAAGAAGAGGAAGGGCTGGAGCTGGTGGTTACAGTTTAACAGTGGAGGTCAGGATCTAACATCCAAAAAATCCTATGCAAATCAGAACAAGACATTCAACTTCCCCAGGGCACCCTTAATAAATAAGAGTTGACAAATATTATTGCAACAATGAAAACAGTAACAGACCAGCTCTTTAGGTCAAATACATCAATGGTAAATACAATACAGAAGAATAACACCAAAATGACATCAGCTGAGGAACTGAGACCGATTTCTACTCCCTTTCTTGTATACAAAGCACTGCTAACATATGAATAATGCTGTCAACAACACATGGGGAATGCTGGCCAGCTTTGTGGTGAGGGAAAGCAAAGAACACAGAGTGGACAGAAATCTCCAGCTTTGCTCTTCCATGACACAGCAGAAATTATTCTTTTCAATTGAAGGTGATTGGGTCATTCTTCTGGGGAAAAAAATTGGAAGTGATTACACAGCTCCAAGTACAGCTGGAGCCTTCCTGTACAAATGTGGGAAGGAGGAAGGGAGGATTAGCAGCCAGGCTGCGGGGCACAGCAGCAAGGCCAAGGAGCCTCGGGCACGCTCCTTTCCCCCGGTCGGGGCGGCAGACACAGCCGGAGGGGATGGCGATGCTCCGGGCACAGAGCTGTTGTCAGCCAATTCCTGCTCTCCACCGGTAGCAGCCAAAAGCCCGGTGGATTGTTCCTCTAATCTTTGCACTGAAATCTGGCAGAGGAGCCAAGCACAGTGGGGTTTGGCCGCAGCAAACCTCACCACCGAGCACCCAGAGCGGCTTCCTGAGCCTGGAGCTGCTGTTCATCACACCGGATCAACCCTGTGCGCACAGCAGGCTGCTCAGCACGTACAGCTCCTCCCGTGCTAATAGAAATTCCTATCCTCCTTCCAGGGAGAAGACCCGGTGCTGCTTTCCCCGGGCTGCAGGGCAGCCCCCAGTGCGGGCTCTCGGCTGGAGCTGCCCTCCGCAGGACGCAGGGGAACAGGCCCTGCACGGGAAAGCCGGGAGCTGGCTCCTTTAACACGTGCAGCTCTGTCACTGTCCCATAATTACGGACAAGGTTCACTTGTCCCAGCGTTGTGCTGCAGACACAAAGTTTAAGGTCCAGAAGCTTTCAAAGTGAGCGAGGAGTTTTGCCTAACATGCAAAAGCTAGGCTGCCTTCAAGTCAAGGTCTCTGACTAATTAAATGACACAGGAGAGATTCCCTCCCCCTGCTGCTTTTCTATAAACCTGTGACTGATGCACACACTGGAAAGTGAAACCCCATAAATTTTTGCTAGACAGCAATTCTAGTTCTATGTTGGTGTTTAAATATGGGCATACAACCAAAGCTGAGAACTGAGATAACCTTTACTTTCAGTTAACACATAAAGGTCTACAATCAATGTATTTGGTTAAAAATAATACTTATTAAAACAAGCACTCATCCTGCAACATCCATAAATACCTTTAAATGCTGATCAGTTAATATTATGTATGTCTCCAATTTTAATTTTGTGTAACCTTGTAATAACTACAAAATGAATCCTCCTGATCAATTTTGTGTCATTTGGCCAACACTGCCAAGGTACAGCAGCCAACAGGTTTTAGGGCTGCTCCCTAAGGTTACAAGGTTAAAGCATTCTCCTCTACCTATGAAAGGATTTCACAAACTAAATTGCATCACTGCAGCACCTGAATGCACAGTGGGATTCAGAGAGCAACACACAACACCTCACATCATAATCCACTGTGCCCCGTGCAAACACCCAGGAGATGCATGACCATTCACAGTCCACAGAGCTAACAAGGATGGGAGTGATTTGTACCCTCTATCCTATGCTGCAGAGTTATTTTAATCTGAGTCTGCAGAGGCAAGCATCCATAGTAAGGAGAAGTAGAGCAAAACAAAAACCTGAATATCCACCAGGGACTCTTTTCCCCCACCACAGCAATGCTGGGGAATCCTCCAAGGAGATGACAGCCACATGCACTTCACTGCCTGCAAAATTGTCTGACACACCATACCTTTTGAGCATTTATTCCCTACTGCAGAATGTAAGAGAAGGTGGCAGCCTGCTATGAAGTGCCAGGCTGTGGAGAGTCAACATGGAATTGTCAGGTGTGTGCTTCATCTTGCTGTGACAGGGTTACACCTCCTCACTCTCTTCCCCCACTGTCCCAAGCTTGCCTTTCTCTCTCCCATAGTCTTCTCCTGTATTGAGCATCCCCCAAAGACACTGTTTTCTCCACAAGTTTCACAGTGCTCCTGGTTTCCATTTCTCAGTTGTACAGTATCATTTCTTAAAAGCTGCTTTTCAGCACACTCAGCTCCAAAGACAAGACAATCAGGAGAAAGACAATCCACTCCTTAATCCAATTTTTAAATGTATTTAAGTAGGCAGAAAGTGAGATTTTCAACAAGATCTCCTTGAAAACAGTGGGAGTATTTGTAGCAGCACAGAAAGCAAAAATGTTGAGTTCTGGTATGGTCCTCTACTGCCACCAGGAGTAAGACAGCATCAAAAGCTGCAGGGCAGCAAAATATCCCTTAGCAGATCCCTCAATGATTGCAACAAAATCAGTACCAAACAAGTGGCTCACTCACCCGAATTTGGTGGACAGAACACCTCCCACGGCAGAGCCAGAAATGATGCCCACTCCAAAGCAAAAGCCCAGCTTCCCCAAAGCACCAGCACGTTGGGAAGGAGTGGTCATATCTGTAATAACCTTCTGAGCACCTGCAGGGGGGAAAAAATATCCCTTAAAAGAACCTTACCACAGGGTTTGAGCAGATGTCCCAGTGGTTCCCATGGTTTTATTGCTAAGCCATTAAGAGCTTTTTGGGTTTTTAGTTTTGTTGGGTTTTTTTTCCAATTAAAACTTTTCTGGGATGGTTTCTGGTTAGAGGCAATTCCCCAGCTTTTAATTTTCATATTTTGCATGGAAGAGGGCTTCCAATGAGCACTGTCAATCTCCTCTGGGAGCCCCATAGTCCATCAGTTTTGAACACAACCAGCCCACCAGTCATGAGAAACAGAATCATTCAAACCACAAGTGAAGCATTATTAATTTGATTCATCTTGTATGAGTTACATGGACTTCTAGTAGCTGAAGTTTATGTCTTTCACATGAAAAATATAGGAAACATCAGCCAAAACAGAACAGCTTGGTGGGTAATGGAAGGTATTTTTGTAATAATGTTTAATTTTTACCAGTATGCTCATTTCACCAGGAGAAAGGGAAAAGCTTTTGTGTAAAATATCCTGGCTGCAAGATGGCAGCTGAAAAGTCTGGGGTAACACTGCTGCCAGCAAGTGACTTGCACCCATGTCTGGATAACCAAGGCCAAACAACTCCCTCAAGATTTTACAGGAAGATGTTACTGGAACTCAGACTAATAGTCACTGCTTCCCCCAGGCAGTACACCTGCTGCTTCATGTTCCCACCATTTCACCCCTGAGGACCATCACATGTTCCTCCTGCCTTCCTTCATGCTGTTGAACCTGTTGACTTCCCCTAGAACAAGCAAAAAGGAGGGGAATCAGGCAGGAAAAGGAATTTGGAAAGCTACTCATCCCTGACTGACCTTACCTGGTATCCCATGCATGAACACTCCTGGCACCCTGGAGAGGAAGAGGAGGGGGATGTTGGTGGAGAGGGACATAAGCAGGAAGAAGATGCTTCCAGATGCACAGGAGAGAATTAAAGCTGCTCGGGCACCAAACTGGTCTGCAAACCTGGCACAGAAATGGCACAAAGTTGTCAGTTTTCTATTTAGGTAAAAAAAAAATAATAAAAAAAAAGACTTCTCAATAGCAAATCAGTTTTGCTCCTATTTAAGGAAAAAAACTCCACCAAACAGCCACAAACCCCTCAAGCCCCAAAACACAAACAGGCAAAAACCACAGCCAGATCAGGTTTTGACTCAGCTCTAACTCTTTGCTGTAATTCAACTCCAAAAAGCTTAAAAAGCTTAAGCTGGACAAAGTCTGAGAATACCACAGAAAGGGTTCTGAGCAACAGGGGCTAAGATAACTATAAAATAGGCCTTAGAGTTTCTCATTACAATTCCTTCTTCCTTCCCTGTATTTAAGCTGCCTATTACAGATAGCAGATGAATATTACCTTGCAATTAGTTGTGTTTGCAGTAAGAGGAACAACCCCCTAAAAATGTCAGGGTTGGTCTACAAAAAGAGCTAAGCTTAAGAAATTAAAAGCTTTTGTGCTGAGGGAGAGGTACAGGTCAAAACTTCGCTGTTTACATGTAAGCTAAGGCAGTTTACATTTGCTGTTTGTAACCTAAAGACCACAAATTATTACATTGTTGGTGTGGGGATTTTTTTGTTTTGTTACTTAAAAGTAAACACAGTGCTTTATCTTTTCATGTCTGTTCAGGAGCACCAGGCAAGAACATGAAAAACTGAGCTAAGAAACACATTCTCTCTTATCCCCTTTCTTCCTATTTTCTATTTAATCTGTCCCTACATTGACATCAAAGCAGTCTCATGACTAGAAAAATCGCTTTTGTCTCAAATCTACATTGCAAATTTTGGCTTCAATCTGGCTAAGGACACCTTCAGTCCCGGTCAGATTCTGGTTTGCCATTTTCCTTCCCTTCAGCAGTGACTCTGGATATTAGTGAATGACACACAGGGAGGAGAACCAGATTTCAGATGGCAGCAGATCCAGGACAGAAATACTACTCTAGGTTTGTGTATTAATAGGAAAAGCATTAAAAGTGGGCCCTTTGCACCATCTCCATTCTTAGGAATGCACTCCCTGCCAAGCAGTAATGTAGAATCAAATGTTGCTGTTATTTATTTGAAAATGTGTCCAAGGGCTGAGATCAGATCCTCAAAGTGCCACACTCCATGTACCAGAGGATCCTATAGAGCTCCCAACCTACATCAGCCAGAAAGTAAATTTCCTGCAGATGAACTGAAGCAGCACACACCAGCTCCCTATCCATTTATTAATTTGCTGATCAGCAGCAGGATCAAGAAGAGAAGTTAGATTTTCTCAGTCCCATTTTAGTTTTCTGACACTGCAATACACATATCTTTCAGGTTTTTATTTTTCCTGGTCTTTAGGAATGTATTCTCCCACCACTCAAATTTTTTTAGGGCAATTTGCATTTCATTAGGAACAGGAAAGTCTGTTCAATGGGGTAAAAAGGTAGAAAATCCAAGTATTTTCCACTCTTTTCTTATTTTGATGGCTTGACTTTATAGATATTCTTAAAATATTCTTAGAAGTTGTTAAAGTCCATGCAAGTCTAAATTTTATTCAACATGGATGCAGATTCAGCTGATGAAATGACACCACCTTCATTTATTGTAATTGACAGCTCTTAACATCAATAAATACCCTCCTTTTTTTTTGTTTTGTTTGTTTTTTTGTTTGTTTCCCAGTCACAAAACATTTCTAAGGTTACACATGGCTATAAAATATTTGCAGGATCAAGCTGTTAGGACCTGGGCTCAGGACTGTGGTGGTTCAAGCCCATTCCCAGGATATTGTTACACTTAAATGCGTGTCATTAAAATGTAGCTAAGTTAATATAAAGGCTGCTTCCATGCTGCAGTATTTCCAACAATAGCATTTATTTTTCCCTTGCTCATTATGAAACCCTCAAACATTTCAACAGGACCACAAACCAGAACGAAATTATTTTTATGAAAGTGTAAAAATGCCTGGCCTTTTTCAGCTATATAAAGGGTCATGAGAATCATTCTCACTTACCTTCCAAAAATGTAACCTCCCACGAGCTGGAGGACACCAAAGGTGGTCTGGAGATAGCCAAACCCCACTGAATCCAAACCTAGGCTCTTTGCCAAGTACTAAAAATGAAAAAAGACCAAAAAACAAATAAATGGAAAAGAAGCATGCTATATTTATGAATAAACATCTTAACATCTGTATGGAGAGGATCATAACTCCAAACAACCACTTCCTTCAGTTCCCCGCTCCTAAGAGTAAATCTTCATTGGGCCAAACACTGGCAGCTTAATAAAGACCAAATGTCTCTATCCCACACCCTCAAGGACAGGGAGGTGTGATCAAAACCATCCATTTTGCACCAGCTGGCAAGTTTGTATCACCATTTACCTTTGCAGTTCAACACAGCTGAACATACTCAGCAACTGCTAAGGGGGATAAGGGAAGTTTTAAATGTCTTCCTGCCTCCAGACCCTGCGCCTGGAACAGCCCAGCCATCCTCTGGGAGATAACTATGGAAAGGTTCTGGAGCTGTTGTTTAATCAAGCAAGCCAGAATCAATGAAAGTACAACGTGAGCAAATATTGCCTTTACTAGATGGCGCACCCACAGCCTGAGCTTGCAAAAAACCACAGATGCACACCTTGAAGAGCCAATGGGCAGTTATTTCTGATTCATGTTTTTGTTGTGTCATGCTTTTGTTTTGCCTGGAGGTGCAGGGAGACCTTATCTCGTTCTACAACTGCCTGAAAGGGATTGGTGGGGTCAGTCTCTGTTCACAAGTAACTAGCAATAGGACAAGAGGAAATGACCTTAAGTTGTGCCAGGGATGGTTCAGGTTGGATATTGCAAAATATTTCTGTACTGAGCAGATTGTCAAGCACTGGAACAGAGTGCCCAGGGAAGTGGTGGAATCTCCATCGCTGAAGGTATCTCAAAAATGTGTAGATGTGGCACTCAGGGACACGGTTTGGTGGTGGACCTGGCAGTGTTAGGTTTCTGATTGACTCAATGACCTTAAGGGTATTTTCCAACCAAAAGTCCTCACTGATTGTATAAAATCAGATACAACTGAGTCCAGTAAGTGAGAAGCAATGAATCCCACTGAGCTGGTTAATTTACACACTTAGAAAAACCCACCTTTGATCTGAAATCTCTGCTTCCTGATAGCTGCTCGATGGGTCACTCTCACACTCCATGCAAGAAGACACAAACTACATCAGCTTCACCCAGAGCTCTCAGGCCAGGAAAGGGCTCTGGCTGCTGCTGCAGCCCAAGTAATAAATCAGCTTTTACGGCCTGGCTGTACCCTGGACAGAGACACAGCCTGCCTGTTTGGTAAGAACACCAAGTATTCCTTTCAGTTTCAAAGACACCTTTCCTCTTTCCTGCTAAAAACTATCTTCTGACTTTGCTGGAAAGCCACAGAGCCTGGCATTGAAGGAAATGTGCTGTGGAGCAAGAGAACCCATATACTCACAGGCATGACTCCTATCTGCATGAAGAGTAAGGTCAGGTCCAGGGCCGCAACCACGTAGGCAACACGGATCACTCGCTGCCTTTTGGCCTCTCCCAGGGTGTCATTCCTCATTCCTGAGGCTTCTTCCTCACCTGCAGAGCTGGTTTTTGCATTCATAGTGCTCACAGAAAGGCTTGCTGCCGGACGGGCTGGAAAACGACACGGAGGCACTCGCTAGCTGTGAATGTGAAGCATAGATAAGGGGCACAAATTGTGTGCACAGTTCAAAGCTTACAGTGTGAAAGGTGCTGAGCCAGCATGCCACGGATTTAATGTTTCTTTCTTTCTTTTTTCCCTCTTCCCTTTGCTTGCGTGCTGGGAGGCAGGATCAGTAACCATGCATCAATCCACGGATCTGGTTCTTCAGCCTTGTGGGCTCACTGCCCCAAGTGTCATCACAACAAAAATCAGCTGGAGTGTCCCAGCGAAGTGAAAGTGAACATTGCCCCAAACAAGAGCATGTGATAAGCTCTTCAACTCTTTTAACTGCTTCACTTCCTTCACTTTTACTGCCCCTGGTGGCTCAGGAGAGAGGACTTTTTAATTCTTCGTGAAAGGCACTTTGCTTTTATTTTTGGAGGTTGCAAGTGAGGCTTACAGCAGACAGCTATTTCCAATTCCAGTAGGTTTATACAGATCCTGGAACAAACACAACTCTTGCATGTAGTCAGAGCCCCTCTCATCACCTTTCCCTGAGCCATTTTCCCTGCTTTCCAGGTGCTGCAAATTTATAGTAATTCTGAGCTAGCAAATGTCCACATGTGACTCCACTCAAACTACAGATTACCAGCCAAGGTCAAAAACATTTTTAAAAAAGTATTAAATCCACACAAATCATGAGGCTGACTGCCAACTGGGAAAAGAAATAAATAAGACTTATTTGGCCTTTGGGGGTTTTGTTGTTTGCTTGCTTGTTTACTTAGGGTTTTATTTGTTTGTCTGCTTGCTTATTTGCTTGGGGGTTTATTTGTTTGTTTCCTTACTCATTGAAGCCTGGAAGCATGGTTGAGGATTATCTTTCTTTTGAAGAGAAAAAGAAGGCAGATATTTCAGTGCTCTAACTTTGCAGAATTATAGGACTTTCAGAAGGAAGGCAACAGGAGAGCTCATCCACCCTGCTGCTTGAACACCTCGGTTCAGCTGTGGCTTTTTCTAGGCAAGCTTTGAAAATCTCAAAGAAAAGGGATTTGCCCCTTCTCTAAGTATCTGGGAAAGAAGTTTTTCCTACTGTCCAATCTGTATTTCTTGTGCTGCAGCTTGACCATGTCACCCAGTCCCTCTAATTTAGTAACACCTCGGCTTAGAAACAGAGTCTTGACTCACCATGAAGGCTGACACAGACACATCAACACAGAGACATGCACAGATGTCTGCTGGCTTGGATCTGCAGTGGTTGTCAGAGCTCCAGGATTGCAACCAAGCCTGGGGAGTGTGACCTGTAAGATGTCTGGGCACACCTTTTTGTTCAACATGTCACCACCGAGCCCTGGGATTTGCTGAAGACTGCCAGGCTCTACGTCCTGGCAAAGGGGAGGGAAGTCCAAAGGTTAAATCTTTCATCAGGGTTGGGTACCATATCACTGGAGATTGCACAGAAACAACCCTTCACAAACTCAGAGCATGAGTGAAAAAAGCACCTTTAAAAATTACTTTACTACAGCAATACTGGCACTCAAGCAGATCCAACTCACAAGACCCCAGAATTTGGATTTCTTACTGAGGAAGGACAATTACCCAGCACATATCCCAACCCAGCAAAAGGATCAGTGCTTGACACTGGGTTCATCTCAGAGCAAAACGAGGGATCTGCCTGCACTTTGAATGTACTTCAGCACATCATCACTCCCTGGCTTATGCTGGATAGGCACAATGTAAAAATTACCATTGAATAGAAGAGTAAAACTAATGACAGAATTCTGTTTATGGAGGTTTTGAGACAACCAAAAAAGCGAGTCATGCAAATGCAATGTACAACTGTACTTACAGGAAACCTTGCTGCCTTGGACTTGAAAAACAATAATTTGATTGGTGAGTTTGTCTCAGCAGCAACTGAAAACAGATCCCAGCAAGGCGACCAAGGCAGCAAAGACTTGCAGATGCAGCCACTCTCCAGCAGACAGGAGCCTTGTCCTGCCAGGGCATGCAGTGCAGACAGCTAGCCAGACACATGCTCTCCCTTGGATTTGGCTTCTTTTTACTGGCATTGACAAGGGAAGTGGAGTAAAAAACCACAGAGTTTAATTTCCAGCCTCTGGGGCTAAAAGCACTGTTCTAAAAAGCAGGAAGCTAAACTTGGTGCCTGCTGGGGAGGTGTCCCTGGTGAATAAGCTGTGATCATCAGTTCCTGTACACCCCCACCCCTGGATGGTTTGGCACCCAAGACTGCTCCTTAGCATCCCAGATCAGGCTGCAAGTAAGAAAATGCCCTGGGCCCAACTCGATGATCCTCTTCTAGCAGTTGTGTCTTTGGGCAGGATCATTTCTCTCCCCATCCCAGCACTTTGACCCACACAGGACAAAGGCAAGAAGGTGGCAGTTTTAAGCCATCTTTACAAGCCAATGGCCAGGTCATGTCCACGCTGCCCTGGCCCCAAGGATGCAGGGATTAGCTGTATTCTCCAAACCTGGCCAAGATGTTGGCAGACTCAAACCATCTCAGTATCCTCTTGCAAGGTCTTTTGCACAGAAACTTGGATTTTCCTGACTTTCAGTGCCTGATTTTTAGAAACTTCCCCCATTTTAAGGGCTAAATGTGGCAGCAGGAGCACCGATGGAAATACAGCCACTGTGATTGACACAAGCCAAATTCTCCTCCTCCCCTGAGTGAGAGGTATGACTGAAAATGTCTGCAGGAGCCTAAGTATGGTAGAGATTAACCCCATTCCCAGCTATGCTCCACTGAACACCACGTTTGCAGCCATGCAGCTCGGAGCCAGCTCATTTATACCTGCAGTGATAATGCACCACTAGTGACAGATGGCATAAGCTGGCCCTGCACTTTTATCTAAAGGCTCCTTCTGGCTCAATTATAGACTTCACCATGGGTAGCACTCAGTCACTGACAAGCCACCTTTGAAAAACAAAATTAATTTTAAAACTGGGGAGCAACAGGTTATGAAGAGGAAATGAGTTTTTCTTGCGTAGGATAAATAAACTTTGAATAGACATATATTTCAGGGAGACTACCAAGAAAATGAGCAAGGAGATAAATATCTTGTGGTAAAATTGCAGATTAGTCCATTAGCTATGCATTAAGCCTTGACACTTATTCTCAGCAATTTTGGAGTATTTATAGTTGCCTTCCTGGTGTGTCTTTCCTGAGGCCTATTTATCTGGTGATCTCTGAAAAAAAATTGAGCAGGAAACCTGAGAACATCTTTTAAAAAAATAATAAAATCTCTGTTTATGTTGCTTGGGCATAAATATTTTCTTAAATTGCTGGAATGGGAAGCAAGGCTAGCACATGCATAGGGAAGGGAAATCCACCCACATCAATACCAGAAGTTGAAAATGTTGGTTTGAAAACAATGAACTGGGTGAGGGGGGGGAATAAATCTCAAATCCTTCTGTGAACTTGGTGGGTTGTTTTTTTTCACAGAGGAAGATTAATATGATCTGGAGGAACATGAAGTACCCTGGGTGGGAGCTTACAGAGGGTCAAACCAAGTTTTCAGCCCCAAAGGAACCTTGAAGAGGCATTAAAATGTAAATATAATGGCCAGCAATGAAGGGCATCTCTCAGGCCTCAGTCCTGTCCTCTATGAATTTGAACTGGCCAGAGTCATCAGCAACACAAAAAAATCAGAGATGGGATGAAGCAAATCCTGCTTCAACGTAGAGCACTCACAAATGTTTGCCCTTGTGGGTGTGCATGCATACACATGGCAAGCATGAGAGCTGGCTGGGAATGCCAGGGAGGGAATCACTGCCTCTTGCTGTCAGCAAAACTTCCATTTCTCCTTGCAAAGAGAAACAGCACCTCTGTGTGCTGTGTACTGAGGGTGCCAGGAGAGACATGAGGTGCAAGTTGAATCATTATGAACATACCTCATCTCCCTGCCCAAGAAGCAGCAGAGAAAACCCTTCCTCTCTCCGGAAGAATACACTGAAAGGCCACCAACCAAAACCAGTGAGGCAGGCAGACATTCAGACATGGAGGGACATAACAACCCTTCACAGAGACACACTCCTCAGGGAGCCATTGTCCTGGGCATGTTTCTTAAACTCTGTAACATGAGAAAGGAAATGGAAGAATTATCTAAAAGCAATTCCTCAACAGTGGGAATGCTGAGTGGCTCTAATGAGGGAAACTGCTCAACACTAGCCATGGTTGGTGGGAGCCATCAAATCTGCAGGATCTGGCCTGATCCCTCTCTTTCCCCGACCCCAAGACTAAGGGAACAGGCCTCATTTGTATTCTGGTGAAAGATTTATACAGTTAAGCAAATAAGAGCATAGATGGCCTGGCATTGCCAAAATTATATCCCAAGTTTGTTGACTGATTTATTCTTTTGTCTAATTGTGTCCATGAAAAAAGCAGCTCACTAATGAATGGAAAAAGACTCCACATGGCCAGCAAAAAAAAAAAGAAGTAAAAAAAGCAGCCATGTTTAGTTTACAAAATAGCATAGTCTTCAGGGATTTTCATAAAAACTGCAGAGACAGTCCAAATCGACAATGAAATCAGATTCCTGGTAGCTGCTGAGCTCTTTTGGCTTTTTCTATGTGTGTATTAAATTGCAAAAGCAATTATTTCTAATTTGTTTTTATAAAAATGCTGGTGCACTTATTATGCCTGGCAAATTATTTTGTAAAATGGAAAAGGCTATTGTTCATTCTCTTGGTAAAGTCTTTGTTACTGAGCATATTAAACTGCAAATCACATTTTATCTGAAAGGTCCCTTCCAACCCAAAGCATTCTATGATTCTATCAAACATGGCTGGTTATTATTAACTTTTTAATGGTAATCCCTAAAGCTGCAGCTAATACTGAAGCCTCATTTGGTGCCCTGTAAACACAAAAAGAGGTTGAGACTCAAATGAGGGAAAAGCATTAAATCCTCCTTGCCTTGCAGATGGGACTCCAACAGACAGAGGGGTTTAATGACTTCCCTGAAAACAGAGGAAGTCTGTGGAAGAGGCTGGAGTCACATTCAGTCATCCTTTGGATGCCAGTTCCCTTGTTAACCACAGGGCAGTTTCTTCTCTCTGATATTCTGGAAAAATTCAAATAAAAGAGAACATTTCTGAATACTGGAATTTGACAACAAAGCTTGCAGATGAGACAGACACTTTGTCAATTGTAAAGGAGTTTTGGAAAAATCCTGTGGCTTGAATACAGGAGAGTTACACCAAAATGACATGACCAAATAGGAAGAAAAACTCAGTTCTTTGTACCCATCCAGTCTCCTGGGCTCCAGCAGGACCTCACTGGGGCAGGAGCCTCCTGTGCCTGCTCACACTGAGTGGCACCTTGTGTAGGATGATTTCAGCTCAGCCTGAGGACTCACTCTGGATCATCTCCCAGGTGTGGCCATGGCTGTGGCCCTCCCTAGAAAACAGAAACCCCTCGAGTTTCCATGAGCTGTTGCCACACAGTGCAGAAGGGCTGCTGGGCTGCTTCTCCTTCAAGCAGGGACATCAAAAACCAGCAAATGCCTCCAGTCTGTTATGCCAGAACACTGAAG